GCATATCTGCGCTTTATTCTTATTGACCACCGGTACAGCTTGCGCTCAGGACTGTTATGCACGCGCTGCACTCATGCTTTAACGTCACGCGTTTTATTTGCGTGGTCTGTGCACACTTTAAAATAAAGTGTTTACACGCGCTTTTTGGAGCATGTGCATAATGCTCAGAGCAGGCTGTACCGGTGGTAAATATACGGCCCTCAGACAGAACAGGCAAGTTGTCGATGAGTGAGAGAGCAGAATAAGGATGGAGGACACTTTTCCTACTGTTAACAGAAAAATGTCAAACGAATGTAGTATTTTGACAAGACAAATAAAAATAGCTAATAACCTACATTTTTATTTTTTTCTCTCTCTGCGACACTGTTTCCCTATTGTGTTGTAAATGTTAAACGAATTGTATCCTGACAAGACGAATAAAAATAAGAAATACAATTTTTGTACAACACTTTTTTTCCTACTGTGTTGCATAAAATATTAAACGAATTTTGTGTCTTAAAATAATGCATATAAATTCAAGTCAATAAATTCAAGACTCTTGACAAGACGAATAAAATAACAGCCTACAATTTTGTGCAGACTACACTTTTATTTATCAGCCTATCTCTCTTTCTTTCAAGTAGCGGAAATTTAAATGTGAGATTCTGGAAACGAGATATAAATTTAGCGGGAACGGCCGGGTCGGGAAGAAAATTATTCTAAGCGGACAGCGGGTGAACAAAGAGTGAATATATAGCGGGTGTGGAATAGAACCTTGCGGGACCTCTACTGTGAACTAGCTTTGGCTCTTCCTATTGACTTGAATGGTGATGCTTCCCGTTTGTCAGTTGATGGCCTTTCATTTTAACCAGAAATGTGCACGCTGCTTTTCTGATGTTCACTGAAGATTTCAGTGCCTTTTTCCCGTGTCACTTGAAATGTTTCCGTTTTGAATTGTTGTTACCGAGACATATGAGGAAAAAATAAATGATCAGTTGTGGGATTATATTCTTTATGTCCTGAAGTTTTCCGTGTCTTTTTCCCGTGTCACTTTAAATGTTTCCGTTTTGAATCGTTGTTACCAAAGGCGAGACGCGTGAGGAAAAATTAAACGATCAGTTGTGGGACTATATTCAATCATAAATCACATACCATTCATTGCTGAACTTTCTAACGACCGTTACTGGAAATGAAATTAAATTACTGGTTGATTTGTCCCGATCTCAATAAAGTTTACAAACGCTTTTGGTCCGTGAATTAGATCTCGCTCGGGACGCGCACAGTCTGTGGAGGTTTGGCCAGGACCGGTTCCAGAATTAAATCAACATATTTTATGTTCCGTCCATTGCCAATCACTGCAATTTCGAGAGTGAATCCCACATAATATGCGAATGTCATTCCCGAAACTTTGCAGGATGTAGCCTATTTGTCCGAAAAACGAAAGTTTCATATTCTGAATGGATTATACCCTAGAAAGTGCGCAAAGCGTGCTCCCTTTATCACTAAAAAGCGTCACTCATCTTCGCTCATCGCGATCTTACAAAGTTCTGTTATAATCAATGAAGCTCTCTAAACTGCACAATGAATCTCTTATTTACATCGCGTCTGCGCTTAGTCATGAGATGATTCACGAGCGTGCAAAACTGCACGCTTTCAGCGGTGAGTGAATTCTGACAAAATGTTTCTGATTAGCCATTGCGTTCAAGAAATCAACAGATATGTCTGTGATTGGTTACATTGCTCAACGCTGCAAAAACATGGTGAGGGTATTTAGCGCTTGGCTAAGCGCTCCAATTGCAGCGGGGCCGACATCAGGGATTCCATGACTGACGATTTGGAGGGGGGGCAATTGCCCCTAATGTCGCCCATGTTCACTATATACAATGCTTAACAAATTTATGTAAGGGTTTTAACAAATTATGGTTTGTGCCACTGCTGCTCTAAACTAACAGTACTGGTGATTACCAGAAGCATTTTTTAGGTTTCTGTATGGGTTAGTCCTCCAATATGTGTAAGCTCTTTAGTAACAGTAGTAGGCTATTTCTAATGCTATAATATAATTATTTCTGTTATCTATGAAAGAAAGGCAGAGAGCTGAGAGTGTTTTTTTTTCAGATACCCAATTACAGTCAAAAAGTACATAAGCAATGCCAGCAAGAATGCAAGCTGTTATGAAGGGCATAGGAGGCCTTTTTTATGTGAATAAATACTATTTAGTTGTTTAAGTTTATTTGCACAATAAATGACAAAAACATTTTTTGATTTAAACAAATTTTTTGACAGATTCCTAAAATGTGTTTTCTCTTTATTATGGCAGGTGGTCTAATAAATTGTTAAGCACTGTATGTTTTCATAGCATTCAGTTGGCACGTTTGTTTGAAGGACATTGGGCAGAATGTGGAATAGTGTGTTTTTTGTCAATAAAATTTAAAAAATAATTTTTTTAATCCGAATAATCGGGAAAAGTTATTAGACGCGAGTGCAACGCTGATAGACGTCCCTCTAGAAAATGCGGTAAATATGTGTTCTGTGTGAACGGCTTGGTTTCATTTTTGACGTAAACTACATCTTCTCTGCATTGAAGTTCTCTTTTTCCGCAATATTTTGAAAGAACAACGTAGCAGCGCCGCACCTAGTGGCTTCAACTGGACAAGCTAAAAAAAGCATTAAAATGCAACGACACTTACATCGTCATCACATCTCGTGTGTCGCTGATAAGGCTGCCTGACGCACACCTAAAATTTGAATGCAAAAATGTAGATTTTATTTTATATTCGATGAATATTCGAAATTCACAGTTTTTTTGACAGCCCTAATAGTTATCGTCGTTGGTGTGAACGGGCCTTAACTGATAGGGTGGATGCATCCTACGTTATCTGGTTATTACGGCTCAGGGGTTTGACACTGAAATGTTTCAGATGCCAGAGTCAGATCTAGAAGTGGCAGGTCAAGTGCTTTCAGAGAGAAAGCGGCGCCGAGTCGAACTCATCCAGATCCCCAGGTATTACCGACGTCTGAGTGGAGCGGGCGGAGGTTTCCACAGTAGATGGAGAGCGAACAAATCAATCCTCGACGGTGAACTTGTGTTTCCATGAACCCTCTGGCTTCATTTCTGCTGCGATTATACCAAGAGCCGCATGATGAATCTGTGGGTCTGAAGAGACAGCGATGCAGAGATGGAGGCAGCGTGTGTGTATTTATAGCAGCAGGAATGTAAGTTCTGTAAAGGTTTGCT